CTTTTATTTCTTTCAGGTTTAAAGGCAGATTTTTGACTCCTAAGTAAAAGTTGTAGAAACCAAACAGTTGACTGTGGTTTTAAACTACTCTTTATGGTCAGAACATGACAAACACTTCACGCTTTCAAACGTTCTTTGATTGATATTAATGACTGGCGGCAGCAACTGCTGTCAATGCACGGATCCAATACACCCTTGTTTTCTTTCTCAACTCTTTACGTTCACTTAAGACATAACCGATTATATTTATGGGATATTTTGATATAATTCTGTTTTTTATTTGTCCATTCGAATGTGTGAGAATGCGAGAAAGAGAGCTCAGCCCAGTGTTCGCGTATATAAGAGGCGGCTTTTGTGCGTGCGCTGTTCTATTTCGTCTTCTTGCAGTTGAATCTTTTGAAATCACAATAGCCTAAATGCGCATACAGGAATCGAGAAGCAGAATCGAAATTAAATTTTATAACAAGTAATTCGATTCCTGACCTTACGCATCTGATTCCAAAATTGGAATAGCTTTTCGATTCCCAACCCTCCTACTAAATTATTTAATTCTTGCATGCAAAAAGACCTGTATGGTGACTATGTAAAATATTTTTTGCAACTTATTAGGTTTATCATTTGTCATTTTTTTCCGATAATGTCGATAATCGTCTGTTACCTGACTGTTGACATCGACACTGCGATACTTACGAGACATCGTCGATATACGATAATATCGTCATATCGCCCAGCCCTACTCTGCAGGAAAGTGGATCTCAAGGGCCAGAGTTAAGAACATCTGCTTTTATTCAACAAGGATGCAATAAATAGATCAAAAGTGACCATAAAGCATTTATAATTTTACAAAAAAAGTGTATTTAAAATAAATGCTGCTCTTTTGAACTTTTTATTCATCAAACAAATCGTGAAAAAAATGTATCACGGTTTCCACAAAATATTAAGCAGCATTGTTTGGAACAATGATGATAATAAGAAGAAATGTCTCTGGAGCACCAATTCCGCATATTAGAATGATTTCTGAAGACACTGAAGACTGGAGAAATAACTGCTGAAAATTCAGCTTTGCCATCACAAAAATAAGTTACATTTTAAAATAAAAACAACCAATAAAAAAGTTATTTTAAATTGCAATAATATTTCTGTTTTTACTGTAATTTTGATCAAATAAGCGCATAGTCCAAGTCTTCTTCTCCGTTTTTAGTGTATCTCTGTGGCAGAATTACAGCGCCACATGCTGGTCTGGCATGTATACTACATCGCTTTGTGTCTGTTTTGTGTGGATGCAGATATTTCTTGAGACGAGGGGAAAAAAAAGATTGGATAGGGAAAGCTCTGGTTTCGTGTGTACGTAGCCTAAATGTGATAGTGCACCAAAAACAAAAAAACTACACAGACACAGCATTTATACCTGGCACAACTGTGACAGTGGTTCCTGGTGGATACTGTGACCCCAGAGAGCTGCTGAACGAGGTGTTGCTGTTGAGATTCTGTGGTGATACCACAATGTAACCCTGGTGAAATGATAAAGAAAAAAAAAAAAGATTCAGTACCCTGACCAAATTCAGCTTATGAATACACACATTAATGAATATAAATTCATGCATGTTTATTACTAATGTAAATTTTAATCCATAGTGGGAATAAGCCTGTGGCTACTATGGGCAGAAAGCAACTCTATCATTGTACTTAGCATTTGTTCAGCACAAATCACAGATTTATCTGAAAGTTGAAAAAGAAGTGAAGTTACCTGATTGTTAATAATGATGGGTTGAGGGGCTGTTTGAGGTCCTAGAGTTGTGTTGAGAGGGATGAGGATGGGATTTCCTCCTGACGGGGCAGAGCCTCTGACCATGATTGTAGGACCTGTAGCCACCCTAGCGGGGTTCGGCGGAGCTTGCAGAGTCTTTTGTGAAGATGTCAATATCGAGGGTTTTTGAACCAGGACATTCCGCTGGATCTGTTGGTTAACAGCACCTGAAGATCACAAGAACAAGAAACAATGAGCAACAAGACCAGAACAGAAGTGACAGTGTGCCAACAAGAGAGTCAAACCTTGTCTCGTGTTGGTCGCTGGCTTGGAGCTACAGATTTCACCGACAAATATTGGTTCATCATCATCGTCATCATCAAGATCTATCAGATTGATTTCTGGTATTGCCTTCTGCCACGGCTCCAACTCCTCCTCCTCACACTCCATAAACAGCTCAGACATCTAAGAGGAAACAAAAAACAAATCAGTGCAGTGCTATGTGGTTAATGAAATTATACCAACAGCCCACAGATTATATCATAACCTGGGTGTAGGCATTTCAGCACAGTTTCACCTCAATAAAAGCTAGCTAATACTTGAAACTCCAGCAAAACTAAGGTGCCATATATATCACTGAAATGCCACAAAACAAGTTATGTGCTAGAACCAAATTATCTTTGCTTCCCACGGGAAAAGATATACATGTTGACATGCTAATGTTAAGTTTAAAAGCCCAACTATAGTAATGTAAAACCTGTGATCCACCTCTAGCAGCCACGAGACTGTTACTGCGGACACAGACCGGCTAATATGCTAATTCAGAGTCCCAACATTACACCCCAGCTATTACTTCAAAATGCAGTCAAGAATAAAGTGCATAAATGCTAAGAAATCAGAGACATTCATACATCGACATAGAAATAGCACATTATTCAGAAATCTGTTAGCAGACAGGTCGGCTGTCTGGAAGCTAACATGCTAAAAAGCCAGAAAACTAGCATGCGCCTGAAGAGAGAAACGGCAAATCACACAGGAAATGTTCATTGGCTTTGCTATGATAACATATAGGCAAACATTTCGGATAAAAAAAAAAACGAAACACGGCCTTACCTTTTAAAATCTCGGATTATTTACAAACAACGTCAGTGTTGATTCAGACACACTCACGGCGGCATGAAGCGCGGAGGCTCATGGGAAATCAGAGGGGCTATTGTTGGGACTAAAGAACCTCACGTCTCTCACAGAACCAAGACTTTTTTTTCAACACTTTGAAAAGCCTCCGTTTATGACAACATTAAAAATACAGAACATAAAGCAAAGCATAAAGAAGAAAATAAAGTAATTATAAACAATACATTAATGAGTCAGACAATAAAAACTAGGTAAACGCCGTCCACGTATACATTACAGAACATGATCCTTAGTGGAGCTTTAGATTTTAAGACTTGCATCGTGATACTTTATACTAAAACTTTACACTAAAATTTACAAATATTTTAAGTAAACTAATGGATGTTAAAATAAAAACAACAAATAACATTAGAATAACATCAGAAATGTATGAGTAATAGTTTGAAGTAATTCAATGGCGATAAAACAGAACCACAGTGATAATATTTAGTTAACTTAGAGTTAGAGTTCAATTTGACAAGCAGCAACTTTGACAGTTTTGTCTCGCTTCTGTTTGTTTTGACCAACAGGTGGCAGTATGAGTATTGTGATGGGTTAGGGATGCATGCCATTTATAAATAATCAATGTCATCATCACCAGCAGATGATACATCTCGTTGTTTCATTCAGAAAGTTTGGAGGGAAGGGAGTTTTAAGAGGGTTTTTTGGATGGCTTATGTTGTACATCTGTAAGCTGTTTTGGCTTTGTGATGTTAAACTGTGCAGCCCTTTGTTCTGTACAGGCAATTAGTTTTCAATGTGCTTTTCTCTGTCTCTTGAAAGATAAATATCTGTGAATGAACTTGGTTAAAATTGGTCAATGTTTGAACGGACATAATGACGTAATATATGTAATATCCCAGTTCTCTTTTTTTTTATGAAGTACTTCTATAGTAGTACTGAATATCACTATTTTTGATATCACTGAATGTAAAAATTATGTAAGCATTATAATTTTTTATGCAAGTAAAGAATGTGACAATATTTACCTGTCAAATACACACACACACACACACACACACACACATATATATATATATATATATATAAAGGCACATTGTAATTAATATATACAGCATACTCTCATAATTAAATGTAAAGATCAGCTCGTTATGAGTGAATGAGCTATTTGTTGCCAGTTGCTTTTAATTTTATGGCAAACTTTCTAGTGTAGTGTAGTTAAGTACTAATGACAACCCAGAGAGACTGTTTTACATTCAATTGCAAATTTACTCAGATTTAGTCTGCCTCGTCACATATGTAAATAATAATATTAAATGGTTTGGGTCCTTTTAAAACAAGCTAAACAACTATTCTTACTTGAAGCATATTTATTGCATTCCTTCTCTGCAAAAATATGTTTTTATGCATTTACGATTCAAGAATTTAATAATTACGGTTGTAAAAAAAAGTTTGCAAATGTATTTATCTATATGAAAATTGAGATTTATTAGAAAATACTATAAGTCTCCTAAGTTCAAAAGTTAATAATAGCAACAACAGCAATAACAATACCAATATTATTTTTTTATTTTATAACATTTTATTATTTTTCATAATTCATCACATCACATAAACGTATATGCTTATACTATATTTTGCACTATTATTTCTAAGATTGTCATGTTGTTGCACTGTAACCTATTCTTGATGTTCCATTGGTTGCATTGGCACATGTAGAATTCCAATTCTCAGGATGAAGGAAAGAAGAAATGTGTGGTTATCAAAGTTAGGTCTAGTTATATAAGGTTTGAAAGGAGAAATAGCATTATCCATATGTTTACATGGTTTTGGTAGAGTGTGCACTAATTCAGAAGGTCTCCTAAGCATTTCTGCTGCTTCACTTGTTCCAGCAGAACACATACTGCAGCTAAATTATGTATCCCATACTTTAAAAATGCACAATTTCTCCCAATACTAATAATACACATATCCAACGAAGGCCACATTTACGTGAACGGAGTTGGGAGGTAAACCAAACTGATTTTAGGAGGTGCTCCAGTGGTCCTTTACTCCCCTAGCAAGGTTGTGTGTCAGGCTTTATGATTCGCCACACATGATATTCATCCGCACCGCTGAAGAACAGTCAAGTCTACGCGCTGGCGGAAGGACACAATTTTAGACGTCATCGTTGTGCTTCGGCTATCGCCAAGCAAAAATGTCTGCCTAAGGGAAACTCGCAAGTTACATAGTGGATATTTGCAATATACATTCGCAAGAGATACCGATTTCATTATCTTTCCGACGCGAGACAAGGAACCCCACGCCGTCACTGGCACACCCGATCGCCCTAGTTGGATTTTTGACAACAAAAAAGGTAAAATATTGCACAGAGTTTGTGAGAGGTTTCGGACTGTTTGAAAGAAGTTGGGATAGAAGAAAAGACGGGAGCCGATTTGGAGCGAAAGCGGTCGGCATTCGCTTTAACATTTGAGTTTGACATCTCACTGTTCATTCTCCACGTCAAAACGTGGGTTATGTCAGTGCTAATGGTCGGTTTTCGCGTAATCGTTTCATGGTCGCGCCACTTATGAATAGGTTAACTGGCAATTAGCGAACAGCAGCAGCAGCAGCGTTGTTTGGAAGTATCCATTCTCCTGTAATGCAACAACAAAAGTGTGTAGCGGCTGATGTTTTGACAGCGCATGTGAGTTCATTGTAAGCTCGTGACTTCTGATACATTGAAGAATCAAACACATGCAGCTGAAAAATGATGCTGCGGGTCCATGTGCGTGACACAATCGAGCACAGGTTCTTTCTCAACATGTCCACGTTTGGTCATCCCCAAAAAAACCCTATTAGGCCTGCTCTCTAACATTATAATAACACCTATTTCCACGGTGTCACCTCATGTCATGCGATTGCAATTGTTTACAGAAAGAAATTCCGTAACCTTGTCTGAAACTGTCAATAATACGAGGCTGGGGGAAGAGGAGGTATTGGGTCTGTCTCTTAGGAGCTTTTTTTTATTACTATTTAATGGATAGCACATAGTTTTTGATCAAGGACAACCAGGTCCTTCGATTGCCCTTGTTTTGTATCAGGGTTTTGGAAAAGCGCAAAGTTAGTTCTGCTAAAGACTGGAGATGGGGATGTTTAGCTGCATGTCAAGCTGCGGATGTTCGCCGATGTCATTTGCATAAACTCTGCTGGCTAGCTTGAAGCTTCAGCGCACACCGGGCTCTCAGATTGAGGGGAATGATGTTTGTGTTTTGTAGATTTAGAAAAGGATAGGAAGGATGAACCCTCAGCAGAGGATTGCCGCTATCGGGACGGATAAGGAGCTGAGTGATCTGCTGGATTTCAGCGCGGTAAGACATTAATCAATGATTTTACTACTTCACTACTCTCTTCCAGCTGTTGTCATTGGTTCAGTCACTCACTTGTGAGATATGCATCATTAGAGTTTAAGTATTACTTTTTTATGTTGTGAATATTTGTTTATTTTTCTCCCAATTACATGGAAATCAACACAATCATTTATATGCACACTTTTTTATACAGATATTTTAGAATATGTAATATATAAAACATGCACTTATTTTTATTATAATTTTTTTTTTTTGCACATACATTTTTTTATTGATTAAACATGAGACACTGTCTGTGTAATGTTAGTACCACACTATTTCAGAAAATGTTTGCATGTCTTCCCCATAGATGTTTTCTCCACCTGTAAACAGTGGGAAAAACAGGCCGACCACTCTTGGAAGCAGCCAGTTCAACACAACAGGTAGGACGTCCTGTGGAAATCCTTTAATGAAAGATTGTCTTCCTCTCACTGTCCAGTCACCTCCTCTCGATTCTCAGTGCAGTTTTGTTGCTGTTGATTATAGTAATGAATTCCTTCCCAAGGTGTTTTTGATTTTGGTTTATCTTGATTAATAAGGAGCAGGTAGAGAAGTGTTCAGTAATGCAAGTAATTGTCTTAGAAATCAGATAAATCCACTGTTTTAATTACACTGAAATGAAAGGCACCACTTTTGCCAACTTGTCATGGCTGGTAGTTTTTTTAATTTTTATTCTTTACATGGATACTTTACATACATACATCATTGCTTTTCATGGACTTCACATTAAAGTCATACATATATATATATATATATATATATATATATTTGTACTGTGATAGAGTCCCTGTTTATATATGAATCCTGTCATAGGTGACTACACGTTGCTGTAAAGATCATCCATTGTCTAATGTGCCATAGAAGAAGGAAACAATCAAGCATTATTCCATCTCAATGCTTGTTTTATGAAAAGCAACAAAGCAGAGCCCTTGTTACACTCATCTGCTATCTAGAGGACACACTTTTAGTGGATTACTGAATAGCTGCATAGCAGAGACTGCAAGACGCTTTTGTAAACCTTTTCAGAATGTTTTGTTAAATAACCTGATCTTGTTGGCACACATCAGCCAGAATCTAAGTGAAAATGATTTACGCAAATGTGATCTTGTAGTCAGTCTTTGGCTTTGATGTGCAATGATGCTAAATGTGATAAAAACATCTCTTGTTTGTTTGTTGCTCCTGACACAACTTACTCAAAACAGCAGTGTTTCAGAGACGGTTTGGAAACGCAGTGGGGCGTTACTTCAAGCACTGGCAGAGATTTGTGTGTGTGGAGCATCAAGATAGAAGAGAAGCCATTTTGCTGTATCCATATATGCTTTAAAGTCATATATATATATATATATATATATATATATATATTTGTACTGTGATAGAGTCCCTGTTTATATATGAATCCTGTCATAGGTGACTACACGTTGCTGTAAAGATCATCCATTGTCTAATGTGCCATAGAAGAAGGAAACAATCAAGCATTATTCCATCTCAATGCTTGTTTTATGAAAAGCAACAAAGCAGAGCCCTTGTTACACTCATCTGCTATCTAGAGGACACACTTTTAGTGGATTACTGAATAGCTGCATAGCAGAGACTGCAAGACGCTTTTGTAAACCTTTTCAGAATGTTTTGTTAAATAACCTGATCTTGTTGGCACACATCAGCCAGAATCTAAGTGAAAATGATTTACGCAAATGTGATCTTGTAGTCAGTCTTTGGCTTTGATGTGCAATGATGCTAAATGTGATAAAAACATCTCTTGTTTGTTTGTTGCTCCTGACACAACTTACTCAAAACAGCAGTGTTTCAGAGACGGTTTGGAAACGCAGTGGGGCGTTACTTCAAGCACTGGCAGAGATTTGTGTGTGTGGAGCATCAAGATAGAAGAGAAGCCATTTAGCTGTATCCATATATGCTAGATAATTCAATATAGCTTGGCATTCCTAACTGTCAGGTGACCTAGATCAGGTTAAATATCTGGGGCTGGATTCACTTGGCTTTAGCAGCTTCTACAGGTAAAGATAACTTAAAGCACTCCTTTTGATGTGTCCTTTTTAGGCAATGTTTGAAAAATGTAGTTTTTAAATTAAATCTTAAAAATATTTAATACATTAATTATTATACCATTAATAATTAACTTAATTTGTAGTTAACTAGTTAAGTATTTAAATAATTAATCCTACTAGGCTGTTGGTGTCTGGGCTTATTTATTTATTTACTTATTTTTAAATGACATGAGACTTTGTGACTTCCTGCACTTGCTGTACTTCATAGTCATTTTATAATCCAAAAGCAAGACGTGAAAAAAAAAACTAGGGAGTGGAAATGGCAGCTGAGATAATGGGTGATCCTCTGCTGCCATCTACTGGATATAATGGAAATCTCATGTCATTTTCATCTTAAAGGGTTACTCCACCCCAAAATGAACATTTTGTTATTAATCACTTACCCCCATGTCATTCCAAACCCGTAAAAGCTTTGTTCGTCTTCGGAACACAATTTAAGATATTTTGGATGAAAACCGGGAGGCTTGTGACTGTTCCATTGACTGCCAAGTAAATTACACTGTCAAGGCCCAGAAAAGTATGAAAGACATCATCAAAATAGTCCATCTGCCATCAGTGGTTCAATCTGAATTTCATGAAGCGACGAGAATACTTTTTGTACGCAGAGAAAACAAAAATAACGACTTTATTCAACAATTCGTCTCCTCCGCGTCACCGTAGCGCGATTTTGGAGAATATCCACTGAACGTAAACCGCGTAAACAGTGTTATTTACTTGGCAGTCAATGGGACAGTCACAAGCCTCCCGGTTTTCATCCAAAATATCTTAAATTGTGTTCCGAAGACGAACGAAGCTTTTACGGGTTTGGAACGACATGGGGGTAAGTGATAAATGACAACATTTTCATTTTGGGGTGGAGTAACCCTTTAAGTCTTTGTTTTCCACCAGGAGACCATTTTTTTTCATGTCTTCTTTCGGATGAGACGTTAAACCGAGGTCCTGACTCTCTGTGGTCATTAAAAATCCCATGGCAATTCTCGTAAAGAGTAGGGGTGTAACCCCGGTGTCCTGGCCAATTGCCCCCCTGGCCTTTGTCAATCATGGCCTCCTAATAATCCCCAACCACTTGATTGGCTCTATGACTCTCTCTCCTCTCCACCTGTAGCT